AGTAGGGGGTACGTTACTAGGTATTAGGGATGGAGGGCACCGATCCTGGAGCCTGGAGATGCAGCGCCCTTTCCCAGGATGGGATCCAAGCTGGGTGTCAGAGCTTCTTATCCTTAGCTGTGCTGGACTCACTTGGGAGCTTTAAAACTACTGACGCAAGGGCGCGGGTGCTGCTCAGCGGTAGAGCACATGCTTAGTACACACCAGGTTCTCGGTTTAATCTCTCCCACCCCACACGGCCCAAAAAACCCCAAAGCCAGAGCTCCGCCCTAGAGATCTGTTGTGATTGGTCTGGGATGCAGGGAGGAGGGGTAGCCAAGGCCAAGTACATTTAGAAATGTGCTTAATCTGATTAATTCTTGCTTCCCAGGAGTTTCTTCGGGTGGTGTCCTGGCCTCACTTAAAGATAATGCTGATGAGATGTTAGAACAAAGGAAGGAAGTTAGGTAACGCTGAGGCCAGTACTCCTTTACACAGATAAAGCCCAGAGGGCGCAGAGGTTAGCTGACTTGCCCAAGATCGCACTGGTCATATTAGACACGCGGTCTTTTCACTCTGGCCGGCGCTCCTTCCCCTGGGCCTGTGGCTGGAGAGAAGATGCCCTGAGCTGGCCTTTGGTGGCACAGGAGCTGTGAGTCCATGGCAGAGGAACCGAAGTCTTTCTCTTGACTCTTGCCCAGCATCCTGGAGCACTAGATTGATAGATACCAGAGACGCCAGTGCCGTGGAAAAATAAGTCCCTCTCGTTTGTCTGAAGAGCAAACCTAAGATCTTGGCATCCTCAACACATTTGCCACTCGTGGTTTTCCAGTAAAGCATTTCAGCACTTTAGCACGTCACAAAGAAGCCCAGGATATGTGGCAACGTCCTGCCTGCCCCTCCCCACCCCGCCACACTGCTGATGAGCCCAGCTGACAGTGCGCAGCTACAAGTGCTGATGACCTCCCCAGCAGCTTCTGTGGAGGTCAGCAGTACAGGGAGGAGCAGAGCTTCTGCATGCTCCGAGATGAGTTCTAAAATTTTAAAACATCATAAAAATACAGACTAGAGGGCATACTCCATGTGTCACTTTTGCTAAAGGTACTAAAGAGAGATAAGATAAAGAAATAATAGTTAAGAGAGATATTATTCTTCACTTTCCAGAAGTGATTACATTACTGCATTTGAGAAGTTCTTATGCCAGGTGTGGTCGTGCATGCCTGTAATCCCAGCACTCGGGAGGCTGAGGCAGGAGGATCGTTGTGAGTTCGAGACCAGCCTGGGCTACAAAGTGAGCTCAAGGCCAGCTTGCACTGCATAATGAGACCCTGTCTCAAAAAGACAAAAAAAAAAAAAAAAAAAAAAAAAAAAAAAAGAGAGAGAGAGAGAGAGAAGCTCTTGTATAGAATAAGTAGGTGCAGTTTTTTTTCAGTGCTGAGATTGAAAACAGAAATCCAGGGCCTTGGGCGCTCTGCCGCTGTGTCATAGTGGCAGCCCCAGAAGCTGAGATTCTCAGAGCACCTTAGCTGTGAGAAGCAGCAGCCAAACTACTTCTCCTTTTCATTCATCCATTTTCTCTCCACCTACATTGCAGTACAGATCCTCCCAAAGTTCACAGTGGTGTTCTGGACTGAAAATTTGGGGGAACTAAGCTCTAACTATGGGTAACAGGATGAGACCTACTTAACCAGTCCCGTAAGCGTTGTAGCAGACACCTAGTCATAATAGAAACATATGCATTCTCTGTATTTTTCTAACAGCTTCTGAAGTGTTCATCAAGCCTGTGTCTGATTAAGCACTTTTAAATTCTGAGCAATGAAATGGGCCCTCTCATATCCTCTTGGCAGGAGTGCAAATTGATAGAACCCTTTTGGAGAGCCATTTGGCTATATCTATCAAAATTAAAAATGCATATACTCTTTGACCCAGAAATACTATTTCTAAGAATTTATCTTACAGAAATACTCCCCAAAATCCATAAAAGTACACATGGGACCTTAGTTTTTTATAATTTAATTTGTTATAATGAAAATCTGCAAGCCACCCAGATCTATCAACATAGAATTAGTTGGATAAACTACAAATGCATAGAATGCATTCCTAGTCCAGAGAATGTAATACTAGGCAGATAAGTTGAATGAGACCATATGTACCCACTAGAGATAGACACACACACACACACACACCACACACACACTACACACACACTGCACACACATACACAAACCTGTAGAAAAGTAGTCTTCCATTCTTATAAAAATTATTAGGGGGCTATAGTGCATGGTGGCAGATACCTGTTATCCCAGCATTCCAGAGGCTGAGGCAGGAGTATCACCAAGTGTTCAAGGCCAATGTGAGGTACATAGTGAGTTCAAGGCCAACTTTAACCATACAGTGAGACCCTGTCTCAAAAAAAAAATATTAAGAGGGCTGGGGATACAGCTCAGTGGTAGAGCACTTGTCCAGCATATGTAAGGCCCTGGGTTCATCCCCAGCACCACACACTCACACACAAACACACATACACAGTGCAGCCATGAAGCAGGTACTGACCCATGGATTTAGTTCTTGCCTCCTAAATCTGATTAAAAACATTGAACTGGATTATTTAATTGATCACTCATGTATAGCTCTATTCATTTTCCCTAGAAACCACTTTGAAGAAACCAAAGTATAGTACAACAACCACTGATAATTTCCTACCATTTTTGTCTGTAACTCACTATTATTTGTCTATTTGTTTTCCTGAGAAACTATCTTGAAGATACCAATAGGTAAAATAACAACCATTGATAATGTCCTACCACTTTGTCTGTAATTCGGTGAATCCCCCTATTGCTGTGCTGTCCTTCTTTTGCTCTTTTAAATAAATTTTTTTTAAAAATTGAACTGTAAGTGAAATAATGTGTCTCAATTCAGTTCCTGAACACATCTGTCCTCTCTTTCCTTGCATAAAAACCAAGTAAAAATAATTCGAACACAAATGCAAGGCTCTGTACCTTTCTACATGGTATGTAGTCGAACTTGTGAGAAGCAGCTCTCCCAGATTTAGAAGAAGTGCTGCAGCTCTGGCTACAGTAACCTCTTGGTGGGGCTCATCTTCTCTCGCTTATATATTCAAACTGTTTCTCTTGAATGTGTGTATTCGGAGGCCACTGAGCACCTCCTAAATGCCAGCCACGGACAGGGCCACCTTAAGCTCTGGTAGGGAGTCAGGGTCTTCAGGTAGCCAAAGAATCCCGTGCTCAAGGAGTCCAGGAGTTTCCAAATCCCAGGAGGGACTTGGGCTGATTTTTAAACTCTGGGCCTTTCAAAGGTTGAGAGCCACATTAGATTCCTGTTTTCAACAGCAGAGATACCCAAAACAAAGACATTCCGGGGGGAATCAGTGTTCTGTGGCTTGTCACAGGAATCTTATTCCTTTTGAATTTTACTGAGACTCTTTGAGATAGATTAAAGTAGATTATATCGTACTCGATTTCATTCCGGTTGGTGAATCTCCGCCCTTTGACCACCTCTCAGGAGAGTACCCCGCTGCCCTCCTAGGGTTGGGTTCAGCCATGTGTCTGGCTTTGGCCAGTGGAAAGTGAGTAACTCAGGCCAGCCATAGCTTTAATTGTGTTTGCACGGGTCGGCTCAGCCTTTTGCATTGCTGCCGGCCAGCATGGGAAGGAGCTGCTGGGGGAGGCTGCCGGTCCTGAATGACGGATCCCTGGTGCACATGCAGCCCTGTAGAGAGCCACAGACGACTGAGTTTCATGAGCAAGAAATAAGTTTATTTCATTAAGCTTCTGGGGTTGTTATTCTGTAGTGTTCGACCCATCACCCAGTTTTCCAAATCTTTTTTTGCTCTCATAGGTGTTTTGGATTTTTTTTCTCATGAGATAAATCATTAGAGAAATATGCGAGGGTTTTCTTGGTGCTCTTTAGCAATACCTTCTCTTCCCACAGATAACCACTATCACAAGTTAGTGTTGATCACAAATACTCACGCTTGTTTAAGTGTTTGATATATGTTTCATATATCCATGTGCATTATGTAGTAATTTTCTGTAGCTGTAAGACATTATGATAAATAGTAGCAAGTTGCATGTAGCAGGGCAATTCACGTGCCTTCTAAGGGGTAATTTCAGATTTTCCCAGGTTGAAACATGGGCTCTAGCTATTCCCTTTAACAACTGTAACATCACCTACCACAGTGTATCTATTCTCTGCGGATAGACATTTACATTGTTAAATGCGAACAGGGCTGCAAGGAATATTCTTGTACACAAATATTTGAGTACCTTGTGGGGTTGTGTGTGTGAGTATGTGAGAGTGTGAGTGTGTGTGTGTGTGTGTGTGAGTGTGGGAGTGTGTGGTGCCACTGGGGACTGAACCCAGGGCCTTGGGCAGATTAGGCAGGTGCTCTACCACAGCTGCATCTCCAGGCTAATCTTGCTTTTCCTTTGAGACACACAGCCCTTCCTCTGTGGGAGCAGTAGACAAACGCCGCCACCCACACAGTCTTAGATGAGAACAGAGGTACCAGTAAATGCTGCTGCCACCCCGGGCCGATGGCTTTGGTACCTCTGGCGGCGGGGCCACAGCCCCAAGACTTTCTGGGAACGTCTGGACTGCCGCTGCTTCCACATCTTACCCACCAGGATTTTTTTCACATTTCGTCTTTCTGATCATTCAGTGAATTTAAACTTCCTGGTCAAGGCTGAAATGTTGGCAAGAGAGAAACAGAGGGGAGAGTGAAGACTTTTAATCGGCTTCTTTCTTCCTCACACAGCAACTTTTCTAACAGATGCAATTACATTGGAGAGCTATAGAGAACTGAATCTTATGTTTTATTTCTTTATTCATCATTTTACAAATGGGGTTCACTGTAAAAAGGAAATGGCCTCTGTAGTTCGGTTCTTTCCCCTCTGCGCTGGAGCTTGGACTTTAACACCAGCTGCGGCCACCACCTTGAATGTGGGGAGTGAGAACCAGCCAGGGAGGGTGGCAAAGACATCAGGCAGAATGTGCTTAAATTCAATATATTTTTATTCTTTGTAAATACAATGAGTACAACCTTTTTCACAAATCAGTTAATTCACTCTGTACAAGAAAAGTTTTACTCATCCTATGATAGTCCAAGTGCTGGATTTTTTCCTCAGTGCTAGTATCTAATAGATCAAAGTGTGAAAAGTACAGCAGCTATTTAAAAATGTTTGTGTCTACGTTTCCATAAGTATCGATTCATACCAAAGGAGCAGCTGATGGCGTGGGGCGATGCGGCGCGTGCACATGTTTATCTGCATGTGCATTCAAGGCTTTACTAGAAACCAGAGTTTCCTGAAGAGCATTGAAGAGTCTCAGGCCATCAGCAATGGATCAGTCATGAAAGCTCTCAGCATTCATCTCCTTGAAGTCCCTTCTGGCACGGTGTCTGTTCCGCCGCCTGGTGTGAGCGCTTAGCCATGAGTTTGGACCCGTTGCCTTTGGTCTCATCACCTCGATAACGGGACAGCGCTCCGCCTCACCCGATCACTCAGCTCCACTTTATTTGGTTTTGCTGTTTTTCCTCATCCTCTCTCATCTTGTCTTCCTTTAGTAAAGCTCTTCTATTTTTGAGATGTTACCCAACCGGAAGTCCTGGAGAGAATCTCGTTTCCATCCACCAATTCCTTTGACAAGGTTGCCTGGCCTACGGTATTAAAAAAAAAAAAAGGAAAAGGAGAAGAAAGAACAAAAGAAAGAGAAAAGGAGGTGGGGAAAGAGATAGAGTAAAAGCAAACCACACAGCATAAGCTACTTTTCACATATTACCTTGGTTCTGAAGGCCACTTAATGATGTATTACAATAGAAGGGAAACTTTCAATAATATTTTTGATTTAAAACCTAACCATTATTTTAAAAATAAATGCTCCAACATAACGTATTTCTGAAGGCCGCAGTATGATGTTATACACAGAACTATATTTGGTCACCCAACTTTATGTGCTAAAAAGGAAAAGAAAGCATGACTGGTCTTTCAGCATTTGATGGCTCTGCCAGATCTCCCAGGTCAGAGGCAGAGTGGCTTGGCCTGCAGCAGCCCCCAGGTCGCCCCTCCCGGGCACCGCGGTGACGAGTCTGCCATCAGATGGTCCCACTGCGCCCCCTTTCCTTCCGGGCTGCCCTGCCCCGATTGAGGCAGCAGGTCACAGCTACTGGAACTGTTTTGAATCCACTGGCATTTTTCCTGAAAGCTACACATTCCCAGATTTATGCTTCCTGAAGGGTTTGTTAGTTGAGGCTTGTTCTCCACGGGTAGAAGTTCATCTGATACTGTCCCATCCTGAAAAGCTGGTACTTGGCGAGTTTAGATATCACTGGATTTGTACATATCTGAAAGCAGTCTCGTAATTGGCACATTGCCGATGGTTTTTTTGAAAAACACTTCTTCTATGGTTGATGGGCTGATAGAACGTAAAGCTGGCAAGAGCAACAGGAGTTTTCCAAAGCGACAAGGTTGAGTGGGATATCTGGAATAGGAGCAGCCATGCAAGCAACGTCAGAGCTCAGTACAAATGGCAATGAATAGCTTACCCTTGAACACACATCATCTCCAGTGTAAGTCCCCGACTTAGGCTCCTTAAATAACACACTGCCCTGCAGAGGGGTTCTGACAGGCAGCACCGTCCCTGTCGTGCAGGAAGAACACTTGCGGCACAGAGAACATAAATGCTGCCAAAATCACACAGTGGTTGTCTCTCCATTAACAAAGGGGTTGTATTTTATTTGGAGAAAAAAACAGTTTTAAGAAACATGACCAGGGCCGGGCATGGTGACACATGCCTGTAATCTCAGCACTCTGGGAAGTCGAGGCAGGAGGATTATAAATTCGAGACCAGCCTGGACAATTTAGTGACTTAGTACAATCCTGTCTAAAAGTAGAATAAAAAATAAAGGGCTGGGAATGTAGCTCAGTGAGAAATCCTGAGTTCAAGCCCCAGTGAAGAAGGGGTGGGGGAGAAGAGGGGAGGAAAGGAAGGAAGAGGTGGAGAAGAGAAGCATAATCAGCTTGAGCAACTTAATGAGATCTTGTCTCAAAAATAAAAAATAAATAAGGGCTAGAGACATAGCTCAGCACCAAAGCCATGAGTTCAATCTCTAGTACAAAAAAAAAAGAAAGAAAAAGAAAAAGAAAGAAGAAAGAAGAAAGAAAGAAAGAAAGAAAGAAAGAAAGAAAGAAAGAAAGAAAGAAAGAAAGGAAAAGAAAAGAAAGCTGAAACTAATTTTAGGTCAAATAATAATAAACTTGAGTTTGCCATTGTGGAAAGTGACCATGATACCAATGATAAAGCTAGCAAGTGAACCCACATTATCTAATTCTCAAGGCTCCCTCACAAAACTATTCCCTTCAAATAAAATGGCTTCTTTTTCTAAGCAATTCTCCAAATTATTATTCAGGCATTACACTTAGTCACTCTCAGGAATAATTCTATCCTTATTACACTGCAAATTAAAGAGTAAGTTCTGTTGGGTGGCAGTGCCACCCAACTTTCATGTCAGTGAAATTGTCACATAATTAAAGATGTGAGAAATTGCTTAACAATTTCCTCTCTTGATGTCCAACATACATCTGTACTCAGATGTGCAAGCTCAATTTTCTGCTATCCTCAGATGCCTATAAACCACCTCCTACTCCAGCTTCTCTGCTTCTCTTACTGATAGCTTAGAAACAGGTGTCAATGTGCTCCCCAAGGAGGCCTCCCTCCCGGAAACAAAGCGCCTAACACACTGAGCTCCAGGGACACACGTGTGGGTAACCGCACTCAACCCAGAGCATAGAGTGCTGGTAGCTGAGATATCAAAAGTCCTCCAAAGGAGTCTGTGAGCTGTGTCTGATGACGCCATCCTGCTGCAAGAGTCCATGAGAGCCACTTTTTTGCTTTGAGGGCATGAGAGTCCCTCTTTTTAACCAAAGAGGAGGCTTAGAATTTGTCCTGTGCCTCTGCCAGCCTCATCAAGTTCCTATACTCCCCACCCATGGACAGGGGCCTCATTGAATAATGTGCTACGCAAACGGTGACGCGTATCTACATTTAAAACAGAACCCAACTCCCACTGCTTGCTCTCCTGGTTGAATGTATGTCATGTCTGCCCTTCACTGGGGCCGCTTCTCTGCAGCAGCTTTGTGTTTCCCTTCGTGGAATCAGACAGAGAAGAGATGACCCTGCAGAGGGCGGAGGGCAGCAGCTCCCTAGACAAACCGCTAGGTCTGCAGCCTCCACCCAACCTGTGGACCATTTCCCACAGTGAGAAACCGCTGTGGGAAAAGTGACTTGCAGAAGTCACGGGCTTGGGAAATGTGTGTATGTGCGTGCACATGTGTGTGTGTGTGTATGTTGCTGGGGATTGAACCCAGGGCCTGCAGGCTAGGCAAGTACCTCAGCCTCACAATTGACTAGTGATTTTCCATGAATTCATTTTCCACTCTTCTTCTCATCCTCTTCTTTCTTTCTCTAGTTGGGGAAGGGCTGGTTAGTCAGTGAACAAGAATTTAGTGTCTGTTATATGTGGAATAATGTCCTACCCAGAAACAGTGAGAGTGTGTGCGTACACATGGGCGTGCATGGGGAGGGAGAGGAGAAAAGTGTGGAGAGAGACAGTACTCCTGACTCCTTCCACCGGCACAAACAGCGAGAAGTATCTTTTCAGTGTTGGGTTTTATGCCTATCACAGATTCATGTACGTGCTTATCTTCATTTATAACATTCATGTTGAATGCCAGTTCCTAGCCTTCTCCTTCTGCCCTAGACAGCTCACAGAACTGAGACAGCTCAGTTTGCAAGCTAACTGCTCATTTTACTCTGAGCTGAGAAATAAAGCACAGGGATTTTTGTCACATGTATGACTCTAGATACTAATACTAAATTGCAACTGTAGCTGATGTCATGAAATAAGAATTCCACGGTGAAGCAGGTATTTTCCTTCCACGGTGCGTTTCTGGTTTTGGGTGAAGGAGATGGAGTCTACCCATCATCCTCTAAAATGCACCGTGGGTCCCCCGTGGTGGAGCGCTCCGGGCCCTCCCCTGGCGCCTCTCCAGCACTTCCCACAGCACCTCCACAGATGCTTCCACTGGTCCTCGCTGCACCCCGCTCCCCGCTGCAACCCTCCCACCATTCAAGGGCCACCTCCCACAGTCATCTTCTCCCTAGTTAGAAGTCCAATCCCCACCCTACATCTTTGCTTTTCTTTCCTGCCTGGTCTGTTTGAAGTAACCTTTCTGCCCACCTCACGCCATGGGAAGGGACAGTGCCCTGCTCTTTCTGGTGTCCCACAATGGCCACCAGAGTCCTGCACATGACAAATGCCCAGCAAAGGTGGGACTAAACCAATAAGGAATATCACAGTCTCAGGTGTCCTTAATATCCTAACGGCTCTAGATGTCCAAGGTCAAGTATGAGGTACAAGTAGGTTTTTAGTGGGGGAAAACTGCCCAAATTATGCACTGCTCCATTTTGTAATTTTCAATAAACATTAACAAACATTAGCTGCCTCATGGACTCAATATGGATTTAAAATTTTAAACAAGGGCACTTTACTTTGGAAAAACATATAGTATGCACTATTATTCAACATAGTTTTTTAATGCTATCCCATTGATAGGGAATACTTATTCATTTAGCAGTCAAAAGAGAACTTATGGCTCAGTGTGGTAGCGCATGCCTACAATCCCAGCACTTGGGAGGCTAAGGCAAGAAGATCACTGTGAGTTCAAGGCCATCCTGAACTGCATAGTGAGACCTTACCTCAAGAAAAAAAAAAAGAGAGAATTTATGATAGAATTAACTAGATCCTAGCAGAAGCGGTGTCACCCCCAGTGGGTAACAGTCAACTTGGGGTTTCTTGGGCCGTTAGGTGAGGGGGCATCAGTGGCCTCTGCCCACTGGATGTAGTTGTGCCATCAGTGTGTGTGGCTGATGTTGAGTTGATGGAGAAAGGCTTCCAAGGTCAGTCTTGGGACTAAACACTAGCAATCCTGTTCTAACCTCAGATCCACCACACTCCTATCTTAGGAAGCTAAAAGGGCTCCATTGCTTTCAAAGTCCTGGCTGTTTTGTACCTGAAAATGGAATCAGAAAGTCTACACCTCGTGGTGAGCTTACTCAGTGCTGAGCTGGCAGAGCTTTGTTTCTGCTATTGGAGAGTTTCTACAAATAGCCACGGATAGCCTCTGCTAGGGGGCCGGGCGAGGCTGGAAGTAATCTGGTGGGTGCTGTGACTTGAAATTACTCAAGTGACTCCCATCACCAAAACCAAGCAGCGAGGAGAAGGGTAAAGATGGCCTCTCTAGAAAGGTCCTTGGTCCTTCTATTTGGGATTGGCATCTGGAGAAGGGCATCTTCTTTTTTCAAGGATGATACAACCACTGTCTAATACATGAACCACAGCACGTTCACCTTCATTTTTGACCCTTCCCAAACCCACCTGCATGAATGTGTTCCACTACTTTGGTTGATCCATTCATTCGGCCAGGACAGCTATGGTGTGTCTGACAAAGCTTCCAGTTTGATCTCTTAATTTGATTTTTCCTCTCACCCATCGTGAGAGATAGGTGAGGACACAGCTTCTAACTAAATTAACTGATTGACCCCAGGATAATTAGTCACAGTGTTAGAACTGGCTTATTACTGCCTGCTCACACGTTCACAATGGAAGCAATTTTCTTAAGTACATGTTCAAGGCAAACAAGGGTCACCTGGTATGGATGTAGCTGTTGAGCGTTAGCTGAGCCTCGTCCTGAAGAGCTGCAATGGCAGCAGCATTCCGGAAACTTCTCAGTTCAGAACCACTGTGTGTGGGCACTGGAAATGAAGATCAGGAAGTTGTAGCAGGCAGCACAGGAAATGCAGTGGGAACGTGCCACTCGGAAGTGGGTGCCCACCAGCAGGGTATGCGGGTCCCCATAGCTATGGGAGAAGGGGTCAGCCTCAGAGAATCAGCTCCCCTAAAATGATCATCTCTTTTTGCAAAGGTCAATCTAGACTCTGAGGTGGCAAACCAAAGAAGGACAAGAGGCAGGGGTCTGCATCTCCTCACCAGCTTTGAAAGTGACGATGCATTTCAGACAGGCAAATTCAGTAGCGTCTAACCGGAGCTGTCTGAACCGAGCTACCACCTCTTGTAAAGCCTGAATTTCAGATATGATCTTGTTCAGCTTCTGGGAATCTGTGTTGTCACCATTCATGCCTAGAATAAAAATATGGGATAAATACTCTAATATGAAGGCATTTTCATGATTTAATATTGATTTTTGACAAAATACTGCATATCAATATTCAATTGTCACTCTAAGATATCTGATTCCATGTAAACTGGCTATGTTGTATGAAAGTTAATACAAAATCTTCTCTTGGATGATAACAAACACAGTAATTTGCATTTAAATAACAATGCAAGCAGTCATGAATACAACAAAACAACATTATTTGCATTTAAATATAGATTTATAAATGACAGGTATACTCTATTGTTCAGCAGGAATTTGTTATTCTTTACATGTTGTTCTTTTTTCAGTAATGTATTTTTATGGTAATTTCTACAACAAAGTCATTAAATTGTGCAATTCTTACCAGATACAGCCAGTAGAGTGTTAGCATCAACCGGAATGGCCCATTGTGCTATTCCTAGAACAAACAGTTCTCTCCAAGCATCTTCCAAAAGCATCAGCTGTCATACAATAGATGTATAATATAATATAGCATGTAATTTATAAATTTATAAACAATTTCAATATGTAAATTCCATTATTTAAAAAAGTGCTTTAAATGTCTGTCTTGGTAAATCTTTTTCTGAATATTTTAGCTTTCCCTTATTTCCCATATTTTCCTTTTTTTTAAAAAAAGTGCCTATAGCTGTTCACATGCATTTGAGAGCCAGCCATTCCAATTCCTCAACATTTGCTTCTCTCAGAGAAGGCCTTACCCCTCTTGCCCTTGCACCCACCCTTTCCTGACCACTAGACACTTCACTGGAGATCAGGCTCTCTGAAATGCCACCAGCAGCTCAGCATGCAGACTCCCCTGGTACGGGATGCTGACATTGTCAGGGGTGAGGATTACTGATTATGACTAAGCTTGCAGGTCTGGAGGGCCAAGGGGGCTGGGCAGGGAGGGAGAGAGAGAAAGAGAGAGAGAGAGAGGAATGGAGAGAGAGAGAACTAATTCTCAAGAGGCATGGGGGAAATCAGGGTATAATTATGTTAATCAGCTTTTACTGAGTTTACCTCATTTCACTGTCTGATTTTTCTGAGACTCATAAGTGGACAGTATCAAGGTGCTCGTCATGTTCATTCTAATAAAATATGCTATTCAATGTTTAAATGAAAATCTGTCTCGTTTTCCAAATTAATATACCAGATTCTACTTCACTACAGTTTGCTTATTGTCAAAGGGCTTCTATCAAAGGGCTAAGTGGCAGACAGAAAGCAAATTTTGTTTGGATTAAAGAACACAAATAGTTGTTTAAGAAAAAGGATAGCCAACATACATACACACACACACACACACACACACACACACACAGCAAATGTTAGAGCAAACAGTAGTAACATCTGGTCAAAGATAGGATCTAATAATCTTGAAAAAATATCTATTAAAAAAAAAACTCTGGAAAACCAGCCAGTTCTCAATGAGATATGTAAAAGAATGTCCTAAAATCATGAAGGCTTATAACCAAAATCATTAGAACAAAAGATTTGACTTTCAAAATGCCTTTTTATTTTATTGCATTAAGTAAGTATAGAAAACAATCATTTTAATGTACAAGGTAAACAGTAACTCTGGCTATTTTGTGCTAGAAGATTAAATGTTTTAGCATACTGCCCGGTATTTCTGGAAAAAAATACTTTATATTAAGGGGCCCTATTATACAATAATTAGCTTTGAAAAGAGGGATCAAATCCTTTGCTTTTAGAATGACTTATTTGGGGTTAGGGTATAGTTCAGTGGTAGAGCACTTGCCTACCATATGCTGGACCCTAGGTTTGATCTCCAGCACAAGTGGTGGTGGGGCCCAAAAACTACTTGGCTTTTTGTGAATCTGTCACTGATTTCCATGAATACAGCCAATGACTGTGAACATTTCATTTTCTTTCTCTCTCTTACTGGTTAGAAAAATGCTGGCAGGGGCTATTTTTTATATTCCCAACAACCTAATTTCTTCATTTTGATATAAAGTAACTTTAGCTGCACACAATTTTCTGAATGTCATTTATGACCAAAGAATTATGCAAGATGTCTATTTATTTATGAAATCTCTAAAGGCACTAGAACCACAAAATATCCCAGCTTGCCGGAGGTGTGCAATGCATACTTTGATGCTATCTGCTGCTAAGTCAATGGCCCAAACTGTATTGCAATGAATGATATAAAGCTGAAAATATAAAATAATGAGACTAGTTTCAAAAATCTCAGGATAGAATACTCTCACCACCTGCAATTTCTGTTTTAGTGTTCTTAAGAAAATATAGATTTTTTAAAAATTTAAAAAAAAAGAAAATAAAGATTTATCACCAGCTTTAAAAAGGAAAAGGACTAAGGTTTTAAAATTTGAGATTAAATTTGATGTTTCAATTAAACTAAAACAGAGATAATGTTCTTGTCCATGTGTTTTTTGTAGACCAGAGCCAGCCTTTTTGAAATAACATAATTACATTTCTAACGGCTCTATAGGTAGATATTTTGAACCTGGTAAAAATAGTTTCCTCTTCACTGTTAAGGATGCATATTTGAGGCTGAGGATATAGCTCAGTGGCACAAGTGCCTGCCTAGCCAGCACAAGGTCCTGAGTTTGATTCTGAGTACGGCAAAAAAAAAAAAAAAAAAAGATGAGGAAGAAAAAAGAGTGCATGTTTGCTTTAGTGATTTATCCAAGTAATGTCCAGTTTTTAAAGACTGAATGCTTACAGAATTGAACTGCTTTGTGCTCAACCCCCTAGTCATAGGCCCCCCCTGTGCCCTGCTGGTTGTACCTGGTCTTGCAAGGACAGCGTGGAGAAAGCTGGCACACTCTTAGCCCACTTGATGCTCATAAAAAGTAGCCTGGCAGCTGATTCACACACGGACTCTGTGGCCACTTCATATAGATACATCGGGGTCCCGTTCACTTCATGGGGGTACTGGGAGGGGAAGAGAGAGAGATGCCTGGAAGTGAGGAAACCATAGCGTTGCAAGAAGAGTCAAATTCATTTTCTAATTAAGACAGAGGAGGGGATGAAAAGAACCTGGACATTCTATTTAACGTACAGCTGCCATAGGTGGGTAAAAGATAATCATCTGTATCCACAGAGTTTGGGGAGTGATGCATACTGGGAAAGGTACATTTCTACTCTTGAGGGGCCTCTCTCTTCCAAAAGGGGTGCCTGGCTCTTCTTCCCTCTGCATCAAATTTTCCTTGGGCTCAGCCAAGTGCCAGGCCTGGCTCCCAATTTAGACAAGAGCTGCTTGCATTTGTGTAAATAAAAATAGATGTGAAAAAAGTATAAATTAATAGGCATCCCAAACACAAATATGCATGAGTATTTTTAGAAAGGATTAGTATATTATGGAAATATTTCAATTAGACATCTTAATCATTCACAGAGCATTCCCATTCATAACTGACAACATATTCATAACACTACTTTCCCGAGCTTATTATACACATCAAGGGTAAGAAAGCAATATTAAATATTGTGTGTGTGTATGTGCCCAGGTGTTTGGCTTCCCCACAGTGTGAGGCTGCAGCTGGCCTTCCTCTGGGGGAATCCTAGGCCCTTCCCCGCTGGAGCGGGAGCCCGGGGAGGTGTCAGCTGAAGCCTGCAGGGCAGTCCTTAGGTAGCAAGTTTCCTGGGTGGGTCAGGCTTCAGCTCCACCAGTAGGGGCTCAGTCTTGGTAGAAATCTGTGTGGTTCAGGAGGGAGTAAGGGGTGCATGTAAAATGCAGTCAGATTCTGCCAACTGCCTAACAGGGTTAGGGCAGTCTGTAGACTTCTTGCTTGTCTTGGGGACCCATTGCTTTGCCCAAGAGAGCTGATCCCACAGACTTGCAACTCAAGGCCCCTTCCTCCACTTGGAGCCAGATACTTTGCTCTAAAACAGATGTCTGATAAAATTAATTTTAAAAACAATAAAACAAATGTCTCTTCTTTTGGAGTCTGGGAACCCCTAAGGGCTGCTCTCTGGCTTTAGACAGCGCTCCACCCACCGCCAAGCTACACTGTAGGTGTTTCCTAGTGGTGTAGGTTTCTGACTTCTGCCCTGAGAGAGTTTCTGAAAGGGGGTGAGGTTGGGGGGTCTACCTTTGTAGTTAATCGGAGGACTGTCCCTACACTAAAGTCTGGGCGCCTATGGCTCAGCCGGAGGGTAGCAGGCCTAGCTGAGAGCAGCTAAGTCCCTCGCCTTTTTCCTGACCCCATCAAAGCTCGGAGAACTGGGTGCACAATGCTCCCTGGCTCCCGGAGGCACGAATCTCTCTGGGTCAAGCGAGGCCACTGACCTTGGGCGTGGGCTGAGCCAGGCTCACTAGGGTCTGCCGCTCGGGGGTGGCGGACACGGCGGCGAGCTCCAGGCCGTGCGGCTCCAGCTGTGTGACCGCAGTGAAGAAGGCCGGGGTGGGCAGCGCCGCGGAGGGGAAGTGCGCGGCCGCCCCGTTGTCCTCCTTGTGTCCGCGGAAGTACAGGGCCACCTGTTTGCGGATGGTGGACGTCCGAGGCCCGCGCTCGTGCTGCACGGCTGCAGAGACAAACACACGGGCACACGCCCCATCAGAGGCCCCACCTAACGGCACGTCTGGGCAGGCGAGGTCATCCGAGAGGTCAAACTCGGGAAGGACCTGGAACTGGAGGGAAGGCGCCCTGGGCGAATTTCAGTCCTACACCGTGTGCACCAGGGACCTGTCCGGGCCTAGGGGCCACAGCAGCAGTCCAGCCTCCGGGGACCAGGTGCGGCCTCGGTCCTGCAGGCTCCTCCCTGCTCGGGGTCACAGGAAATCAGAAGCCCTCGGGCTGCAGCAGCCGGCGGCCTCGCCCACACCAGTTCTTTGCGCAGAGGCCTGCATCCCCCCACCTGCAGACCTGCCCCCCACAGGGCTTCAGCCTCCAAGGGCCCTGGAGGAAAGGACCCGACCCCAGGAACGCGAGGGGGATGGGACGAGTGTGCTGAGGAAGGCAGGGGAGATGTGACAATTACCACCGACGGTTTAAACAAACAAATTAATTCAGGGCAATCTTCCGCCCGCCGAGCCTGACAACTTGTCAATACACAAGTTCAACAGGTTGGCGTCCCCTCTTGCTTCCTGGGCGGGAGGAAGGCGCTCTCCCGGATGGGCGCAGGACCTCACAGCTGCCACCAGGGCTCCGGGGTCCCCGCCCAGGCCTGGGGGGGGCCCTCGCCAGGCCGCGACGGGGACGCAGCTCGGTCTGTGCTCCAGGCCCAGGAAGAAGCGTCCTGAAGCCCAGTTGCCTTCGCGCGTGGGAGACTCGGGGAAGCCGGGCGTGGGCCACACCCCTGAGCAGGGACCCGCCTCCCCCGCCGCTTTCTTTTCCCTAGAACCGAGAAAGGGCCCTGGAAAAGCCGAGAGCTATACCATGGCCATACTGATGTTGGCATCTTCGAGAACTTGCAACCAAGTGTGGAATTTCGCGTCTCTGCTCTCCCTCTTCCAGCCCCCGATCTCCTCGGAGGGAGACTACACAGACCGGGAGCTCCCGGGCAGGCTGGCAGGCTCAGGAGTGGCCACGGAGGGCTGCAAAGAGCCTTGAGAAGAGGGATGAGGACAGTGATTGCTGCTGCTTCTTTTTTTTTTTTTGGTATCGGGAATCGAACTCAGGACCTTGTGCTTGCCAGGCAGGCGCTTGTGCCGCTGAGCTATATCCCCGGACCCAGAGGGATGAGGACAGAGGCACAAAATACCACCCCTCAGCTCTGCCTTCCTGAGGTGGTTTGGGGGCACAGGGTTCCGATGCCAGCATGGGCCTTGTCCTAGGCAGTTCAGTGGGGTCAGCTGGGGACTCCAGCACAGAGGCCAGTTCCCAGCATCTGGAAAGCAGTGTTCTGTCGGAAGATGATTTACATGCATAGGAGTGTTATGTATTTTCTGTACATATAATTTACTTACTACTCAATCAACATTACAAGAATTAAGGGATGGACTGATTACCATCTTTGTTCATGTTGACTTCCAAACACTTCTTCAGCCGACACGCCCGGCACTGGTTTCGGTGTGTCTTGTCTACCGGGCAGCCTCCCTGGAACAGAGCACAGTGGCCCCCAGCACCCTTAGCAGGGAGCCAGAAGCCGGCACCACGAGGGGGGAACGGTATGGGGACCCCGGTGGCCCTGGATCCCAGAGCAGCCAGATGGGGCCGGTGACACGTGACAGCCTTGGGACCAAGCAGGACCAGATAGAAAAAGGGCTGGGATTCCCAGGGCTGCCTCAAAAGGGCCAGCCCGTGACCCTATGGACTCGGTCAAGGAGGAAAATGTCCTTCTCCTAACAGGGAAAGGACAGAGAGCGCGGTTTGCCGGAGGCACCAGTGCTGCAGGGAGCAGCTCTCGGGGAGCTTCCGGCGGTTGTGAGGGGTGCAGCAGGGACCAGACTTTTCAGGACCGAAGACAGCGACCTGGCCCAGAGCTCTGGGAGGAGCAGGTTTTCCGGTCAAGACCCAAGATTCCTCTTCCTCCTGCCAAATACTCTGCGCTTTCAGGTCTTGAGTCTACCTCCTTCTTGCCACGTTCTGGGTGAGCCCCTTCGCCTGACAGACAAATCTCTCCCATTTGCTTTTCTCTTTTCTGATACTTTAATGTTGCTTTTGTATTTTAAGTCAGTCTTAATAACCAACACGTTGAGAAAATTTTCATCTTTAAAACTAGCACCACCCATTGACTGAATACTCATGGATATGCTCTACCACTTAGCTACATCCCTGACCAAGTCAATGTGGGTTTTTTTGGTTTTTTGGTTTTTTGTTTTTTGTCTTTTTTGAGACAGGGTCTCACTCTGCAGTTCAGGCTGGCCTTGAGCTTACTTTGTAGCTCAAGGAGACACAGTCAGAAGGGGCAAGCCTTACACAAGGTGAGAGTGCGAAGGAAAGAGCCCCAGGTCTGGGGGAATCTAGAAAGATCTAGATTTCAATGGTTAAATATGCTCAGGAAGATAATATGATGGGCTGTCTGACAGAAGGATAATATGGACTAAGACCATTAGCATGAGAACTGATTTAAAAAGCAGTCAGTGCTTTAGAAATATTTATCTGACGTGAATAAGAAAATAATGCAACTTTCTGAAATAGTATTGACAATTAAAAGAGAAAATTTACAGTTCATTTTTGGATTTATATAGTGTTTGGTGTTATTGCTGAGGGAACATACATGTAGACAATCACATGTGTGTAAACTTTTTTTTTCTTTAACAGTGTTGGGGTTGGAATCTGGTGCCTCTTGCATATCAGACAAGAGTTCTACCCCTGAGTTACCTCTCCAACCTGTACATAGGTATTTTAAAATAAGTTTTCAAATTTATTAAAGATAGGAAAAGGCCAGGTGTGGTGGTACAAGCCTGTAATTCCAGCGCTCAGGAGGCTGAGGTAGGAGGGTCATTGCATGTTTGAGGCCAGCTACATAATGAGTAGCTGGCCAAAAAAACAAGGACAGCCTGAACTACATAGATAGACCCTGTCCCAATAAATAAATAAATAAATAAATAAATGTGCTCTGCAGAGTAAATTTGGGCCAAGTAAAAGCAGGAAAAGAAGTACACTGTAGAGGAGAGTGTAGGCAGGCTACAGTGGGAGAACACAGTAGCCATAAATATTTTATATGCAAAAAAACAAAGAAGTTTGGTGCTGTCATCTAATTGTATAAGTTGCACTGTTAACATTTGCAGTGAGAAGGAAGATAATACAATAGATGCATTTTTATTTTGTTTCTGAATCTCAAAAATGCATATAGTTTAAATTAGAATGAGTACTTTTTCTCTGAGATAGCCCATAAGGAAAATCACACACTGGGCTGCATGGGTTTATACGATCACATTCCTCCAGTTAAAAATACATTGATTTGGCCAGGCACGGTGGTGCACGCCTGTAATCCCAGCACTCAGAAGGCTGAGGCAGGAGAATCATTGTGAGTTGAAGACCAGCCTGGGCTACAAAGTAAGCTCAAGGCCAGCCTGAACTGCAGAGTGAGACCCTGTCTCAAAAAAGACAAAAAACAAAAAAACCAAAAAAACAAAAAAACCCACGTTGACTTGGTCAGGGATGTAGCTAAGTGGTAGAGCATATCCATGAGTATTCAGCATGCAAGAACCCCTGAGTTCAATCCCCAGCACAAAATAAAGCAAAACAACAATGAAAAAGTTGACTTGTTTAACACAAAGGTGGGGCAGGTGTTCATAAAGTGTCTAAATGTTTTGGTTATTGTTAATGATCAACTGAAATATTATTTATCTAGTCTTAGAATAAAAGAGAGGAAGAAAATAATTTTTAGTTCTCAAGACAATTCCTCAGGTGTCTTTGGCCAGGGTAATAGCTTAAACTAATGAGGTCTGAAGAATTTACTAAATGTAATCAAACGCTTGTCCTGGAATGGTATCTTCCAAGTATTCTGATGAACAAATGCAAATGATAGCCTCCATTCTTTCTGAAGTGCGTCTTCAAATCAGATCAAATGTATAAAAATATATGGAGCACAAGAGAGGGACCAATGAATCCCTCAACTTAGCTGCCCTATTCTCTAGAAAAGCACCAGGCATGATGATCTATCATCATTCCTTTACAAGTACTTGGACTGACGTCAATATGTATGGATTGATAGCACTTGCCTAGCATGCATGAGGCCCTGGGTTTCATCTCCAACATTGAAAAAAAAGTGAAATTGGACACCATAGTAATCCCAACTTTATGGTAATCCTGGGGTATAGTCTTATGTGTGTATATAACCTGATATATTTATAGGATAAAGCTAGCAACTGATACAGATTCAAGTACTCAGTTAAACAGGTAACGCAGGGATGGAGAATTCAAAATAACCTGCCCCAATGCAAATGTCTTCTTATATTTGCTGGCAATGTAAATCCAAAAAAGAGAAGCCAGAATAATTCATTAGCACCAGATGCTGTATGTATGTGTTTATGTATATAGTGTATTAACTAGTGAAAGCTTTTGTTATTTGGTTACCAAGATGCCTCTTGGGGATCTTCCCAGGGTTGAAGGTGGCAGCTTCTGAACGGAAGCTCTGTGTGCCTGGCTGAGGTACAACAGAGTGTGGGAGTGGAAGGTTGATCTTTTGGGTTGGAGTCTACCACTGAAGGGGAAACTAAGTCAGTCAAGAGGTTCTGCTCACTCCATCTGGATGCTTGGCTCATGGTCTGCTTATGTCCCAATGCACCTGTCCTTTACAGGCAGACCTGTTTGTTCAAGAGCAAAACACAATCCACCGGCACATTTTCTAAGCAGAAGAAGGAGATGTGGAAATGAGGGTTGGGGGTCCCAGGTGCATCCCCATTTGAGTTTCTCTTCTTCCTTATCCTTCCCTTTTCTGATGCCCCCTGCCCATTTGCAAAGCAGCTCCCTGCAGATCACGGCCTCTGTCTTCCCTGGTTCCCGTTGGGCTCTCAGCCATCTATGGTTGTAACCTTGACTGTCCCTGTGCCTTTTACTTCTACCTTCTCTGGCAGTGGCAGAAGGAGCTCGGGTGCCGCTAGCAGTGGGGGTGGGACGGGCCAGCAACACAGCTCGCTGCTAGGTGACTCGTGGTTTAGCCTTAAAGTTCTTCAGGTGCCCTGGGCTGGCTCTGTCACCACCGGCTGTGGGCCCCACCACTATCCAATGCCAAAAGATTTTAAATGAAAAAGTGTAGGAAGACTTTGGGATTTTAGACCTCCTTCTCATCCGTCTTCCCTTCCCTTATCCCGCCTTTCCAGAGCCAAAGGGCCTCCCAGAGTTGAGGCAGGAAGGAGAGGCGAGCAAGGCAGAGGTCGGGCCAGGCCTGTCCTTAGAGGAGGCCTTGGCCCCAGAGAAGAGGCGGCGGGGGTGGGGGGCAGCACAGCCCCGGGTAAGGTACCTGATTTCCAGACTTGCAGACGTAAGTCCGATTCCTCCTGATGCTCCGCTTGAAAAACCCGGAGCAGCCGTCGCAAGCGTAGACCCCGTAGTGCTTCCCAGAGCTGCGGTCGCCACACACTTTGCAGGGAATATCTAAAATGCGGCCTGAGACGGCGAGAAAGACAGGGAAGGGGGAAGGGGCGAGGCGGAGAAGAGGAGGAAAGGGGAGAGGGAGAGAGATGCTAAGCAATCTGACCTCTGAAGGGATTAGCATCGAAGCTGCGGTAAAAGCAAATAATGAAGTGATTTTATAGCCAAACTTTTTTTCCTTGAGCAAGTGTCAGTTTCCTACAATGAGCATTATTCATGCACCGCTACATGTATTTGGGTCTCCTCTAATCGCCGAGACCCATTTCGGAATAAAAGATTACAGCAGGCCGGGGCGGCAGCACAGCCCGCCACTGCCTTTCTGCTCCTCGGAAAGTTTGGCCGCCCCCCTCCTCGGCTCTTGCATTTAACATAGAAAGTTGTTAGTGAGCGCGCGAGGACACAAACTTGAAATGTAAAAAGGAAAAGAAGAAAAACAAACACGGCTGGAATCTGGGATGGCAGCTGGAAGGCAATCGAGTTTTCTCGCAGCTCCGCCGGGCGGTTGTTATTATTAGGATTATTATTGTGATGCTAATCGTCAGATTATTAATGATAATAAGGATAGTGGTAATTGCCCAACTTTTTCTTTACCTATTTAAAAAAATGCTTGGCGGATTGCTTTGGAGAAATTATTTCTTTGAGGAAAAACTTTTCTCTGCAAAGTGCCACTGGACTGGGCAGGCGGAGGACAGCGACCAGACTTCGGCACCACCCCCGGCTTGGCGGTGTGGGGGGGCAGCCACCCCTGCTCCCCATACCCTCAAACCCTTTCTCCCCGAACCCCAGCTTCCTCTCCTTGCTTCTGTGTACTCTTCCTCCGGGTTTTCCCGCCGCTGCTGGAAGCTGATTTAAACAAAACAAACAAACAAACAAAAAAAACCCGACTAACTTCTCTAGGCTTTTCCACTCACCCCACTGGATTCGGGATCAAGAAAACTTTCTATGGAATCCCGGCACCCAGGTGTGGTACCTGGAGAGTAGTCCGGGAGAGGGTAATATCCGGAAATGGGGTGGGGGGGTCTCTGAAGTTCAAGGGTCCAAAAAGTACCTGAAGCGGGTTAGGGACTTAGAGGTCCTTTCTAATGCAGAACCAAAGGGAACATTTAAAAAGTGCTAACACTTTCATAACAAATCAGCCAAGAGCCATGAACTTACTAACACTTGATCTCCCCATCACAGTCTGTCCAGAGACCTCCGGTCCGGGCCCAGGCGACCTCAGGCCTCGCTGTAACTCCAGCGCTGCCCTGAGCGCTGCGGCTGGGGTAGGGAGAGCTGGAGAGGGCAGCGCAGGCGATGAGGGCGCGGCAGGAGGGCCCTGGGGCTCGGGGTGCAAACGCGCTCCCGGGTTCCGAGGCTTCGGGGCGGCTCGCACCGGGCCCGGCTTCGGCCCAGGTGGAGGGGAGCGCGGGGGAGCTGGCTGGCGTGCCTGGTGGGGGGGTCCGTAACGACCAGGCTCAGCCGGGGTAATTACAACCCCGCCGCAGCACCTGCCTATAGAACCACCAGTGACCCGTCAAAAAGAGTAGCATGGGAATTCGGAAGGCGACAAAGGCCGGCGGGGGGAGGCGCTCAGCGCAGTGGCCACCGCCTTGGCGCCCCCTCTCCCGCAGGGCGAGAGGGGAGGTTGTGTTGGGGGAGGGAGGGGCCGGGGAGAGCTAAGGGAGGCCGCAGCGGGTCTCTCCTCCAGCCCCTGTGCCCAGGAGAACTGGAAGACCCCCAGAAGCTGGGCTCTGGAGCTCTGCGGCGCCGCCTTCACTCTCGCTCTGGAAGCAGAGAACTTGGTTTCCATGTTTTGTAACATTTTCCTCTGCAAACACGCGCTCTAGCCGCGCTGAGGTCCTTGCTTGGGGCTCAGCAGCGCTGTCACCCCTGCTGTCCTCTTCCTGCCGGCAATGCTGATGCCAAGATGGGTGCACAGGGGCAGCAGTAGAGGCGTCTCTCCCTGCTTCCCAGCCCGAGAGGAAGCCAAGGACACAGATCTCTGGAAAACCTGACGGCGCCGGAGGAAAGACCAGTGCCCGGCTGCTGACCCTCCTTGGGCTGCCTGGGTCTGGACTCAGGGATGGTCACCCCTTGGGCAGCCAAGGCAGCAGGTCGGCGCTGGCTCGGGGCAGATCTCAGAGTGGTCCCGGGCAGATCAGAGACGGGGAACAGGGCTGGGAGGCGGGGAGCACAGGAAGGAGGGACGCGAAAATTCCGTCTGCGCCTCAGCCTCTGCCACCCAGCCACGTTAAGGTGACTTCGGGTCACAAGACAAGCTGGTTGCAAAGCTCCTCTCATTTAGCAAGCAGAGCGAGCTCGGACGTGAGGCAAGCCGGAGGTTCCCGAGGCTGGGAAACCGTTCTTAACTTCCCTCCTCAGGGGGTCCCCTGGGGCTTTTTGTGTGTCATAATTGCCTAAAGATATATGGCAGCTTCGATTACTGTAATTACCATCAGAGGCTGTTGAAAGAAGTTAGTCTGGGCTGCAGGGGTGACTGGCCAGGGTCTTGTTACCACCCAGGCAGGGCTCCGAGTGACATCGCTCTGCCCTCCAGCAGCACGAAGCCCCGCGAGGCGGGAGACGAGAAGTCGCTGCCCGGCCCCGTCCTGACCCGGGACGCTGTGCGCCGAACCCCTCTGCTGCCCTAGGTCCGAGGGCTGCGGGGTTTCCGGCGGCTGCGGCTCTCGGGTCAAAGGGTTCCTGGATGTAGTAGCACTGCGGGTGGGGGTTGCTGCCTTGCCGGCCTGAGTAACCTCAGCATCAGCATCCCACTTGAGCCAGGCTCGGAGCTTCCTAAGCAAACAGACTGGCAAATCTGGAAGCTCTGAAGTTTCCTTGTTGGGCCCAATCTGCACTCTCAAACTAGTCTCCTGCCTCCTGGCCCGCAGAGCAAGGCGAAGCCATAAGCGAGCTGGCCTGCACGCCTGCCCCTTCCCTGGCCTCTGAGGCCTCACTTTCCCAGCCCCCAGGGTGATCCGTACCCCCAAAAGGGCAGAAGAGCTCGGGGAGGAGGTGGAGGCCCGTCCTTGGGCGAGCGAGCTAGGAGGCCTGCCCAGGCCCGCGGGGTAGGTTTTGGCACTGGATACTTGGAATGCAGCTGCAAAGGCCCCCTTTTGCCCCTCCTGGGACGGACACTCACCCCAGGAGCACGGGCGACAGAAGGCAAGTCCGCCTCACTTCCTCGAGATCAAACAGCTAGGGCCAGGGTAGGCCACAGGCTAGCAGGAAATGCGGGTTCTGCCAGGGTGGGCCGTGCATGGGCACCACAGTTGAGGGGCCTTTTCTCCCCTCTCTAGCTTAGCTCTAAACATTTTTCCTTTCTTTTTGTTCGCGTTCACTTTGCTCTAATTTTAAGATGCCAGCATCCGAACGAAAACAAACGGGCAAAATGAAAACACAACCTACTTCTTGCGGGGGTGGGGGGTGGGGTCGGGAGTTGCATCCCGCTAAAGTGGGACTTCATTATCAGTCCTCCGAAGTATCCCGGACTCTCCCAACTTTCAAAGGGACAATGAGGACGAGCGAGGGGGGAGGGGGAGGAAAGGACCGCGCCGAGCACCCAAAATGCTATAGGCGAAAACAACGCAGGCGGTGAGAGAGTTCCGGGATGTGGGGACTGCGGCAGTGGCCGCCCCCAGCCACGGACCCTGGAACCCGCAGCCGCCGACCCAGCTTAGGCGGGAACTGAGAAATCCTGGCATCGCGGCCTCGCTTTCCCGAGGCCGGCGCAGGCCTGCATATTCCCGCGTTCCTCAGGGACTGTGCTCCCAAATGCCATCACACTTAACTCTCCAGCAGCTCCGCACTCCCGCGTCTGGGGGTGGGCTGAGGTCAGGCGCGCTCGGCGTCCTGCGGGAGAGCCAGAGGCTAAGAAAGTTGGAGCAAGGAGAGAAGAGCGCGGAGGGAGCAGGCCGCGCACTCCTGCCTCTGCAGAGCTGCGACTCGGAAAGTCTTTGGGATTAGGGATTTGATTCTCTCCTTGCTACAGTGGTTCGCCATACTTTAAATTCCCCAGTTATGACCCTCGCGGATTTAGGATTAAGGAAAATGTGACTTTTAAATTGTTTCTGCTTCCTAGTTTGCAGGATTATTTGAAATAGCTAGAAAAGGGGTGCAAAGCATTCCATTCAAAATCCTCTTTGCAGAGTTGCTTTGCGTGCTGCAGCTCGGAGTTCTGAGCGAGTATCTTACTGTGCTGCAGCCTGAAGCTGCTGCCGAGTTCCCACCCCCGTCGTACCCCGCTCACCCCCAGCACCTGGCGACTGAACGGAAACAACTTGCTGGACTAGCGGTTGCGCAGGTCACAACCTTCCCGTCGTATCAGAGAGAAGGGGAAATCAAGAAATCCAGAAGGAACGAAATTGCTTTTTTCTCTCCGCCAAAAGCTCCAACTCGCGGTCCACAAGGGTCTGGGCCAAAGGGCACACGCCCGTTGGGGTCCCTTTCTGGGGCTCGGAGCTTATTGCTCCGGGCAGGACCTCCCAGGCCTCCCCGCCCGATCGCCCGCCCCAGGTAGCGCGCCTGGACCCCGGCGGCCCGAGAGGTACCCACTTGTTGATCCGGCCGGCTTGCTCATGCTGGCGGTCCCGGGACGAAGCGGCTGGTGGGCACTGCCCGAGTCCCGACCGGCAGCGCCCGCCTCGCTGCCGGGCGCCGCAGCTCGCCAGCCGCTCTCCAGCCTGCGAGGCTCCGGGGCTGGGCAGGTGGGTATCGCTCGCCCGCGGCACTCTTCTCCAGCCGCTCAAAATTCGTTCCACAGTGGAGATTTAAGCATCCTTAAGTTTATTCCCGGCTCTTGCAAAACTGCAGCTGCTGGGAATGCTGCTCGAGATGGACACACAGATGCACAGACAGATGGAGGGATGGACAGCAGGCTGAAGAAGAAGGGAGGACAGCACGAGGGAGGAACTGAAGGACCGGAATGAGACACGAAAATGGCTTTCCTACGGTGCAAAGAAGGCAAAAGCTCTCTCTTTCCCCATTCCCGTCACTCAGTCTTCAATCTCTCCCTCTACCCAGGCATGCAGAATGTTGGCAAATCTCTACAGACCGCTGATGTTAAGAAAGATGAGACACACAACCGCAGTCTCAGAGGCAGATGGGCTCCGAGCTGCCAGCACCCAAGAGTGCAGCGGGAAAACTAGATTGCTAGGAAATCTTAGGAGAGAGCGGCGGCCGGGTCCGGGTTTCCGGGGAGAGCCGCGCACGCAGCGGCAAAGGGTCCCCGAAGTTCATTACCCCGTGACTTTGTGCCTGTCGCTGCGGGCTGGGTCCCCTGTAATATCTCCAGAAGCGCTCTGACAGGCAGCCGCTGGGAGGGGAATAGGGCGTCCCTGGCCCACTTAGCTTTTCCCCCAACTCCTGGCGGGGTCTGACGTCAGCCATGTGCGGGGAGGAGATGGGAAGAGGGAGGGGGTTAAATGCTAATGATATTAATGAACCTCCAAGCGGCTCCCAGAGAAAATGCAGGCGCTCTTGGAGCCGAGGAGTTAGAGTGCGAACACGGGACTCTGCGTGCGTGATGGTGAGGCCGGCGCTGCTCTTGCAATAAAAATGAATTATTATTATTTCACGGCAAGGGAGAAGGGGAGGGGTGATGGGCTTTCTCAAAACGCTTTCCCCCTCTCTCCAGGCGTGCCAGACAGATAGATTCATGGAAGAAATTGGGTGGCTGTGTTTGTGTGTGGTTGTGCACGCTCGACACGACCATGTGAGTTGGTTCATGCTTGGTCCCGTGCCCCTTCTATTGGGTAAAACTTGGATCTGACCCGAGGTGAGTAATTTATTCATTTTGCAACTATCTATGCAGAGTCAGAGCTGAGCACGGGCCGTGTGCGGACTCGGGGCCTGGGACGAGGCTCCGGAGCCTCCGCGTCCTCCGGGCTCGGCGCGGGGGGTTTGGGCATCCACCGCGGGGAGGGCGGCCCCAGCGTCCTCCGAGCCCAGCCGGCCGCGCGGAGCGCCCTGGCTTCCTGGGCAGCTGTGGCACAGCTCTCCCTCCGCCGCCCGCGCCCAGCGGGTGTCGCTGGCTCGCCCCTCC